ATATGGCGAACAAGAGTTCGCGAAAAAGCCGTTTAATTAAAAAATGATCGTCCTTACTTAATAATTCATATTGATCTTTTCACCTACCATATACCAAATTTCTACAATTTATCATTAAAATTATACATTCAAATAGCTTCCCATTCAATATGATGAAATTATTATCACATTTGCAGGAAATCACGTTATCTTCACATTTTTACTACAAGAATATAAATATCCGAAGCATCGATTCAACGATCGTGAATGCAATGTTGTAATATAAAATGGTAAAACATTCGTCGATGTAATATAAATTTTTCATGGCTTTTACTATAATGAAGTATAATAAAGCAGAAATATATTGTAATGTCTTAAATACAATAGAATATAATATAAATAATCCGCCTATTTATGTTGTATGAGAAAAATCAAATTTTTTATAATCTTAGACAATTGCCGTAGTTCCTTTAAACATTTTATCTACATAAATAATATTGCTAATTAACGTAACAAATACGTTATTTACTAAGGTTATTAGTTGATAGAAATATCAGAAGCCTAGTTCTATTATCTACATTTATGATTTCATGATATTTTTTTTTTTTTTTTTTTTTTTTTTTTTTTTTTAATTAATCAAAGCAATATCATAAAATAAAATAATGTTATACGTGATATGATATAAATTAAAAGGAATTTATGTTGTACATTATCAAAGGAAAAAAAAAAAAAAAAAAAAAAAAAAAATTATATGAAAATGTTTTAGGCTTTAAAGTATGTATTTCAAATATTTGATAAAAAAAATTTGCTAAATGCTACAATAAGCCTACTATTTATTATCTTTGAAATTAACATTTTAAAATAGAACGAAATTAAAAATATCAATTTGTACGCGCCCAAGATAATTCTCGAGTACATAAGGCTCCTCGATGAAACACAATTTATCAATATGAAGATAATCATCATACGAAACTGAAGCCTAAAGTCTCGACGTCATCTTTCATAATCTTCAGACTTAGGCTTGAGGTTTCGTAAAAACAAAGAGATCTTTACCGATTACCAAGAATCAGTCTGATTGTATATCAAAAAGTGATGTTATCTTGATTAAAGGTAGATTAATTTATTTGCAGATACACTTAGGTATTTACAACGTAAAAAAATTCTCGGTAAGGTTGAATACTTTATAAATTGTTTGTACAGCCTTTTCTTTTATCGTCGTTTCATTTATATAAGATAGTTCGCTTTGCATTGAATTTTAAAAATTTAGGTAACAACCTAAATAACAAAGCTTTGTAATACTAACTTTTATGCATATATGAAATGTTCTGTTTCGAGACATCGAGTATAATGTAAATGATAAATTTTCATTATACACTGATGGTAAAGTGACAATATGCAAATAAAATCTTGATCTACCGTACGATCTGTACCAAACACTTTTATGACAATTAGGTTTGTTACCAAATCGAAATATCTGAATCGGGCGTTCTCATTGCGAGAGATAGTTAAACCTACTTGTACGCGCATTAGAAAAGTTATAAATTCGTTTTTTTGATAAAATACAAAGTTTTTCTACGAATCAAAAAACGAAAGTTTCAATTATTCCCGAAAGTTCGTTTTAACCTTGAACATTTACAGTGACCAACTATTTTTAAATAATTGGCAATGAAAACAATTGAAAACATTGTCATTAGAAGACTCGAACGAACTGATAAATGAATTCAATGTTATAAAACTAATAATTGAACAGCTTCATATTTCAACCTATAAAGAAAATACTATTCGCTAACAATGCAAAAACAATTTTAAATTGACAAATTACTATAATTCTGTGTAAGATACTACGAAACTTTAGAGGCAGCGAGCACTCGTCAATTATCATTCGACTCCACCGACTAAAACCATCGGCATCTTAATTTTCATTGCAGGTTGATTAATAGGTTCATTAGCCGCTCGCAATTGTCGTAATATATTATTACATTGACTAGGACTTGCGTCGATTTTAAGGAAGAGCG